GTTGACTATGTGGGAGTCCAGTGACAGCCGTTAGGCTAACTGCTGGTCCCTTTTAATAACTATTTAAATTTATTTTTTATTATTCATTTTGACCAGAGAGGGTACGGGTGGGGGGAAGCAAGCATGTCCAGAACTCAAACTGTGAAGCTGCTGCACTTTTTTAAAAAAAAGGTTGTTGGGAACCAGCAGTTAGCATAATGGCTATGTCGCTGGACTCCCACGTAGTCGACCGCGGTGTCCCGGACCCGGTGGCTTAAAACTCACGCCGGGCGCGTGTGCGTGCGTGCCCAAGATCCCAAGAGGGGAGGAGAAGGGATTGCGGCGTGACCATCCCCCCGGGGGGGGTGATTTCTCACTTCCTGTCTCTATGTCTCTCTCTGTCTGGCGAGCGCACGCGCCCTCCAGTGAAAATCTCTCCAAAAAAAAAAAAAAAAGGTTGTTGCCTTAGGGTATATGCACTGCAGGAAAGAAAGACAAATATAGTGAGAGGGAAAGTTAGAAATCACCCCAGGGGGTGGGGTGGGGTGGGGCAGGGAGAATAGCCAGACAACAATCCCTTCATTCTCTTCCTGGGATCCTAGGCATGTAGACACATGCCCCTGGCATTTTTCAAGCCATCAGGTCCAAGACTTGAACTGTGGTCAGTCATGTGAAGTCCAGTGACATAAGTGTTACACCATCTGCTGGTCCTAACCAGCAATTCACTTCTAAAAATAACCTTTTATTGGGGCCAGCAGGTGGTGTGGTGGTTAAGGCAGCTAGATTCCCACATGGCCAGGTGGGAGATTTGAGTCCTAGACCTGGCAGCTTTCTCGGTTCCCTTTCTGGTCAACTTCAAGAAAATAAAATAATGACAATGAATAAAGTTAAATTTAAAAAATTATTTTAAAAACCTTTTATTGTGGAAATGATATTGTGCATTGTAAAAATTAAGGAAAATATAAGCAAAAGTTTATTTTTTTTTAAAGAATTGTTTACTTTTTTCTTTCTTTGCTGTAGGGCATGTGTGCTCACCAGAGAGATGCAGAGAAAGCAAGCCTCCAAGATTCAAACTGTGGTCGGCCATGTGGGAGTCCAGTGCCTTAACCACCATGCCACCTGCTGGCCCCCAAGCAGAAATTTAAAAATTAATGTTTCCCATTAACCAGAGGTAACATCTCAGTAATATTAATGCCTAACTTTCTGGATCTTTTTCTATGTATGTGTATAAATGTGTGAGTATACATGTGGCAGTTTTGTTTGTTATGTCAGAGGGTACGTACACGTGAGAGCGAAGAACATGTACTACCCGTCAGGGCCTGGTCATGCCACAGTCTTTTTATTTTTTGGAGAGGTTTTTGCTATAGGGCGTGCACGCTCACCAGAAAGACAGACAGAGAGACAGAAAGCGAGAAATCACCCCCCAAGGGGAATGGCCAAGCCACAGTCCCTTCTCCATTCTCCTCTCAGGATCTTGGGCACGCATGCACACGCTGCCTGTGTCAGTTTTAAGCCACCAGGTCTGGTACTTGAACCCCAGTCTACTACATAGTCCAGCGACATAGCCATTACGCCAACTGCTGATCTCATGCCATATAGTCTTAATTTTGCCAGAAGGAATGTGCATTTTTCAGAGAGAGAGAGCACCTCCCAATGGGGAGTGGTCATGCTGCAGTCCCTTCTGTATTTCTCTGTCCTGTGAAGATTTGGGGCACACCCACAGATACCTTGCATTATTTTCAAGCCAGTAGGTCCAGGATTTGAGCCATATGGTAGGTCATGTAGGCTCTATCTCCCTTAAACACTAGGGCACAGGGGTGGCCCCACAGTCCCTTTTCCTTGTTTTCTGTTTCATCAGAATCCTGGACATATTGCATGTGCCTGGTGTGTTTTTCAAATGGACAATGCCAGGACTGGAATCCTGATCAGCAATATGGGATCCAGCCTATGCTGTGTAGCACTTACTCACTGTGTTGTAAGTTCACCTCTACATGTGTTAGGTTTGTCTATTTGCTAGAGGGCATATGCATGTACTTGCCAGAAAGAGAAGGGAAGAAGAGAAAGCACCCCTCACGGGGAATGGTCACGCTACAATCCCTTCATCTTTTCTTTTGTGGGGGTTTTGGGTGTACATACCCAGCCTGGTACATTTCTAGAGCCGCTGGTCCTGGACTCAAAACACACTGTCCACCTGTGTGGGATCCAGCTACCTTAACCACCAAGTCACAGAGCTGGCCCCATATTGCATTTTTAAACCAAATGAGATCATACTGCTTTGTAACTTTTAAAAAAACTTTTTGTTGGGAACCAGCAGTTAGCGTAATGGCTATGTCGCTGGACTCCCACGTAGTCCACCGCGGTTTGCATCCCGGACCCGGTGGCTTAAAACTCACACCGGGTGCGTGTGCATGCGTGCCCAAGATCCCAAGAGGAGAATGGAGGAGAAGGGATTGCGGCATGACCATCCTCCCTGGGGGGTGATTTCTCGCTTTCTGTCTCTATGTCTGTCGGTCTGGCGAGCACATGTGCCCTATAGCAAAAACCTCAAAAAGAAAAACAACAACAACTTTTTGTTTTAATTTGCCGGAGGGCACATGTGCTCATTAGAATAATGGGCAGAACTGAGAAAGCACCCTCCATGGGGGATGGCTGTGCTACAGTCCCTTCTCCATTTCTCCTTTTAGGATTCTAGGCAAGCGCACACAGGTCCCTGGCATGGTTTTTAGGTCATCAGGTCTGGGACATGAAATTTGTGGTTGGCTATGTGAAATCCAGCTGCCTTCACCACACCACCAGCTAGCCCCTGTAGCTTTTTTAAAAGTCAGTAATCTCAACCTTTCCCCTAGTAAATTTTCTATAGGTCAGGAACCAATCTAATACTAATACCATGCCATATTTAGAGTTTTCCAGGTGACCCAAATAATGTCATTCTCGGCCATTTTGACCAAATCACTATCCAGTGTAGGTGCACAAATTGCGTCTGTTATATTCTTCTACTCAAATTCATGGCACTTTTGAAGAGATTGGGGCAGCTGACCTTCAGAGAACTGTAGCCATGTTGAGGATGGATTAGAAGAAATAGGGTGACCAATTTGGTGAGAAATAATAACTGAGACAGTAATGGTGGAGATGGAGAGGTAAAGATGGATCTGAAATACATCTCACTGGTGTATTCTGACAAGGTTTGATGGGTTAGATTGGGCAAGAGGAGTTAAGGATGATAGACTACTAAAATATTTGGGAAGATGTGTACTGTTTGATAGGAATAGGCACAATACAGGAAAAAGTTAGAATGAATATGTTTTTGGATTGAATATGAGATGGTATCCAGTAGTAGGCTGTTGGCTATGTGGATCTGAAACCTAGAAATGCTTTAAAATGACCCATGTTTTGTAATATGGCACATTGAACAGAATGGGCTCTTTTGTTTAATGGTTTTGGTAAATTAGACATCATTTTGAGGAGGGGGGAGTTGATTTTCACCTCATACCATACTCAAAAAATAGACTAACCATCTAAACATAAATATACAAAATATAAAGCTGCCAGAAAAAAGTTGTAGAAGCCATAAAAGAAAATAAAGGAAGACTTAACTACATAGAAACTTTAAATTTTGGTACAGTCACCATAAGTGAAATTAGACAGTAAGCTACAGATTGGGTGACAATATTTGCAACACACTAATTAGTTAATATCTCTGGTAGGCAGGATAATGCCTACCTCCTTACCTCCTAGTCCTTAAAAGCTGTGTACATACTATTTTACATAGCAAAGGGGAATTAAAATTGAAGATGGAATTAAGGTCGCTAATCAACTAAAATAGGAAGTGGATTATTCAGGTGGTCCCAATGTAATCATAAGGGTTCTCTTAATGGAAGAGAGAGAGAAAAGAGGTCAGAGGGATATGATTTGAAAAATAAAACAAAAAAAACTTGTCTTTCCTTTGCTAGCTTTGAAGATGGAGGAAGGGGCCAGTAGCCAAGGAATGTGGGCAGCCTCTAGACACTGGGAAAGGTAGAATGAATTCTGCCTATAGAAAATAATAGCCCTGTCAGCTCCTTGTTTTTAGCCCTGTGAGAGATGTGCCAGACTTTTACAAAATCCATTTGTGTTGTTTTGTGGTAATTTGTTAAAGCAGCAATAGAAAACTAATAAAATATCCAACGAAAAGTGCAATAGAAGGGCAGGCAGGTGGTGTGATTAAAGGCACTGGAATCCCACATGGCTGACTGCAGTTCGTGTCCTGGACCTGGCAGCTTGCTTTCTCACTTTTCCTTTCTCTCTCTCTGTCTCTCTCTGGTCAGATTCAAAAATAATAAAGGGAGTTAAATAAGTAAATAATTCTTTAAAAACAAAGTGTAGTACAAAAACAAGAAAAATTCAGGGCTAGCTGGTTGCTTAGTGGTCAGGAAGGCTGGGTCCCACATGGTCAACTGCATAGTTTTGAGTCCTGGGCCCAGTAACTTAAAAAACAAACTGGGCATGGGGCTAGCAAATGTTGTGGTTAAGGTATGGACTCTCCCATGGCTGACTGCAGTTTAAGTTCTGTACCTGGTGGCTTGGCATGCTGGGCACATGTGCCTGCATGCCCAAAGTCCCAGGAGGAGAATGGAGGGGAGGGCATTGTAGTGTGGCCATTGCCCTTGGGAAGTGATTCCTCATTTTTCTTCTCACTGTCTCTTTTCTCTGGCAAGTGCATACACCCTATGGCAAAAACCTAAACAACAACAAAAAAACCAGCTGGTCACTAAAAAAGGTTTTGTGTTTGTGGCCTTGGGGTAACTGGGCTGTCTGAGGGAGAGAAAAGAGCTAAAGACTGAGAATAAATGGTCAGAAAGATGCATAGAACACCTGAGGACCAAATTGGTGAAAGAATAGACCGTACCTAGGGCCAAAAACAGCTGCCTAGACTCAGACTAGTGGTCATGGATGTGTTTTTCTGTTCACTTGCTTTGAAATCTTGACCTCTCAAAGGCAACACGGGGCTTTGCTCCCTTGCCCCTACTTCTTTCTATTGTAGAGTAGGAAGATCTGGACACCAGTGGTGATGTGTGAGGGTCTAAAAAACCTGCAGAACTCCTTTTGGAACCTAACCCTAATGGGATATGGCCGCAACAAAAGTTTATAAAAAACTGACATTCCCAGTACCCTAGACTCCAAAGAAAACATGAGTGGTATTTGTCTAGTTCAGCTAGTTTATTAAGATTTCCTTTACTTATCTCTCCATTTCCCCACCCTTCACCTTTGATATCAGGCCTTGGGGTGCTAGGTGCCAGTACTACCAGCCTTTACTGACTAGATTTGGTGGGTAGGGGTCTGTGGGTACCCAGGAATTTGGCTAACACCCTTTGGAGACCCTTGGTAAGGGAACCCTGGGTGGTGGGGGAGGAGATACGCTTCTGCATGTTGGCCCAAGGACAGTGTTTACAGTGGTAAGGACTCAGGATGTCACCAGCAGCCAGCCTTGCCCCTTCCAGATCCTGGGCACCCAAAACCTTGGGAAGAACCTGATGGGGAAGAGCAGTATGTTGAGAGCTCTGGCCTTTGTGCTGAGACCTTTGGAAAAGTCTGCTTACAGGAGCCTCTGTTGTTCTTTGGGCCTGGGCAGGGTGGCTCTTCTTTGTGACTGTAGATGACCCCAATTTTGCATTTCCTTCTCCACACTCTCCTGCTTTGACTTTTCTCAGATTCTCTTTCTTTTTGGCTGAACATAAGGTTGAAGCCTTATGCTGTCTCTTGCCTGAGACCAGAACCTTAGGGTTCACAGACTCTCCCAGGCCTGGACAGTTATCACCAGCTTCCATGTGAATATATGGCTCTTGGGATGGGACCTGGGCCTTCATTTTCTCCTTCATTCTCTGTTCTCTCTGAGACCCTTGTTTTGACTTGCCAGACTCTAGTGGCTGAGAGTGGGAAGAAGAGGAGTTATGGCAGTGGGGAGCCTGGGCAGGCTGAGATACTGCATTCTGAACTTTTGGGGGATGACAACTTGAAGCACGAGGACACAGATTGAGGAGGGACTGAGTCTTCTGTGAGGGGCAGGAAGAGAGCCCCCGGGAATCTAGATTTGTGGAGCTCAGGTCAGGGGATCTGGAAGCAGGGCACTGCTGTAGTTTCTTCAGCCTGAGTTCTAACTCTCTACTCCAGTGCCATCCCTGGATCCCAGGATGATGGAGCACCTCTGGGATAGTCTCTCCCTGGGAGGTTGGGGCCTCCTCTGTCATAGCCCCTAGGGACAACTCTCCCTTGGCTTGGCCAGGCTGCGTGGGCTCACTCTTCAGAACTTCAGCTAGGGTTGAGGACCAGGTTATTGGCTGCCTGGGATCTGCAAGAGGGCTTGGGCCCTGTGGGACCTCTCTTTGTTGCACATTTCTCCACACAAATTCAGGGTTAGCACATGGCTCCGGAGGAGCAGAGAGGGAGCTGGGAGCTGGGAGCTCAGTGGCCCAGCACTTATCTCTCAGCTCCATTGGTTCCCTATCCGTCTTACAGTTGTATTGGTCCTCAAAAGGTTCACCTATGTAGCACTTTGAGACAGAATTTGGGGATGGGCTAGAGTCCCAAACGGGGGACACAGGAACACAGCAGTTTTCTGTCTGCTCTGTGTACTCTCCAACAGACTCAGAGTCAGACTGAACTCCAAGGGAGTCGGCTTCATGCAGGTCTTGGAGTAAACTGCAAGCTGAGACCTCAGGGGCCTGTGGGTTGTTTTGCCTTTTTATGTCCCCACATCTAGCTTCGGCATCCATAGGGCTAACTCTAAGGTGCTCCAGTACAAAAGTTGAGAGTGGACTGGGGGCCAGAAATGGAGGCTCAGAAGCCCAGGAATTCCTGGAATGATCAGTATTCTTCCACATAGCTTCTGATCTACTGAGACCTTCCACAGTATTGATTCTGTGTGGTTCTATAATTGGAGCTTGCAGTACACTTTGGGCAGAGTCTGGAGAGCAAGGATCCCAGGAAGTGTCTCTCTGTCTTTTGGTCTCCCATAAACATTTGGACTCAGACAGGACTCCTTGGGGACTCATTACCGGAGACTTTAGCAGAGAGGCTGTGGGAAGGCTCAGGGATGAATCTGGGTCAGCACAGACCCAAAGTGTTTCTCTTCTCTGCATACCCTTGCCTGGAGTCTGAGAACCCGATGGGACACATGCAGGGTGGATTCCATAGAGCCCTAAGTTGAGGTCCAAGCCTGAGGTCTCAAAGGCACAGGGGTTTCCTGAGTTTTCCCCGCATCCTCTCTGGACCTTATGTCCATATGGATCTTCCAGGGGACTCTCTCCCTGGAATTCTGGCCAGGAGTCCATGAGAGAGCAGGGAGCAGGCATTAGATACTGCCTATTAGAGACCTGAGGGTTCTCTTTGCATCTTGTGGTTTTCCACAAGTTCTTAGGTACAGAAAGTCTTCCTTCAGAGCTGACTTTTGGGGATTCTGAAAGAGAAGCTGGGAATTGGCAGGGAGCTGGTACTGGAGACTCAGAAGCTTGGGGAATCTCTTTATGTTCTATGCTTCTGCATTGAGTCTCATATCCAGGTAGCACTCTCAGGACACTAATTTCTTGAGGTTCTGTCATGGGTCCTAGGGATTGGCAAGGGGCCAAGATTGGGAGCTCAGAGATATGAGGGTTCTCTCTTTGCCTTGTGGTTTCCCAGAGAGCCTTTGATTCAGATAGGCCTCTTACAGGGCTAACGATAGGACTGACTCCCTGGAGTTCTGGCAGGGAAGCTGGGATTGGGATGGGAGCTGGCATTGCTGACTCATAGGCTTTGGGGTCCTTATTTTGCCCCATGGTCCTCTGTGGGGACTTAGACCTATTCAGGACTCCTATAGCGCTAGAAGAATACAGCAGAGAAGCAGAGTGAGAATCTGGATTGTGTTGTTGGAGGCTAGAATCCCATAGTACTTCCTGCCAGGTAGATGAGAACAGCTCGGAGGGTCTGGTCCTTTGGAGTTCAGGCTGTGGGTGTAGGGCTTGTTCCTCAGAAACCCCAGGGACCTCTTTCTGCTGTTTTAACTCCTGTGTGCATGCCTCAGTACCAGACAGTACTCCCTTGTGGTCTACGGGCAAGGGCTTATGATGGATTACTGATGGCACAGGAGGGGAAGCTGGAGGTAGAATTAGCTGAGGATTGGAGGCTATATCTTTCAGATTTTCCTTAGTATGGACTTCATGGGTAGGAAACTGGGTTGGGCAGTAATACTGAGAAGGCAGCAGGTTGGACCTATGTAGGAAAGCAAGCTTGTTGAAGAATACAGAAGGGCAAACAGACAACTTCAGGGAAGAGGGGCCATCTGAGCTCATGAAGATGGCCTCCAAGGACTCGCTGTGCAGAGAGGGAAGACCACAGAAGAGCTGGCTTTTTGGCTGCTTCAGGTGGCTCCCTGGTACTATCTTGTGCCTCACAGGTAGGTTGGTTAGGATTTGGAAGGTGGGAAAGGATCTAGAAGGGTTTGGGGGTTGCATAAATACTGGTTTTTGTGTTCCAGTGGCTTTGAGGAGGCCCTTAGAACAAGAGGATGGCTGGGATGGGGCTGTGTTAGCTTGCTCTTCAATGGGAGCCTCTTCAGGAGAACATGACTTCAGTGGATCCAGAGATGCTTCCTCTTCTTCACCTTCTTCCCCTTCTTCCTCTTCCTCTTCCCCCTCTTCTTCCTCTTCCTCTGATTTCTGCTTCCACAAGCAATCAAGGAAGGCCACATGGTACAAAAGTGGTAGGCCCTGGGGAGTAAAGAAAGAGTCTATCAAGCATGAAGCCTTTTCAGAGACAAGGTGTATCATGAAGCCCCCAGTCCCTGTTCCACATCCATAGTGAACAGTTACTTACCTGGCCCCATCTCTATGGTCAGCAGTCATTGACCCAGCTCATCCATTAGTGGTCATTATCCAGACCTCATTCCCCAACAAAATCCTGCACGTAAGGCCAATCATCACTCCCCCAACCTCAAATTTAGTATCACTGGTCATTCACCAGCCTCACATCCAGCACATGTAGTCTCTTACTTGGGCCTTATCCAGTCCAATGATCCCTCACTCAACCTCACATGTGGTGTCAGCAGTAATTCACCCAGTTCTACATCTATGATCAGAAGTTACCCCACCTTGCATTGCATCATGGTTCCAGAGCACCAGGGCTGAAGCTGTTGCCACCTCCCAAGCTGCCACCACCTCCGGATCTGCCAAACCATGAACAGGAATAGTGTCACCAGATTCCCTGGACTTTGGAGGCAGTTGCTGCCACAATGTTTGCAGGCCAGGGCATGGGTCAACTGTCCCCAGAGAAGCCCCATATCCCACTCAGCCTTGAGGAGGTCCTTCAGCAGCCATTCCATTTTCTTTAACCTAGTGGCAGTTTACTCTGAGGTCATCACTGGATCATAGAACAAAGAACTCCCATCCCACCCCACCCTCTCCAGCCCAGGCCTAAGCCTAACAGCCTTCTCCTTGAATTTAGGTCAAAAAATTGCTTCCATAAGACAACTCTTACTTTATATATTGAAATCTAGGTGATCCCCTTGTGTCTTGATTGCCAGAGTCAGAATTATGTCTTAGATACTATGGTTAAGGACACGAGTTCTGGCATCAAACTGCCTGGCTCTGCCGCTTCCTACCTGTGAAACCTCAAGCTGCTTTCAGTGCCTCAGTTTTCTTATCTTTAAAATGGGCATAATATGGGGAACCAGCAGTTAGTGTAATGGCTATGTCGCTGGACTCCCATGTAGTCGACCACGGTTTGTGTCCTGGACCTGGTTGCTTAAAACTCATGCCGGGCGCATGTGCGTGTGTGCCCAAGATCCCGAGAGGAGAATGGAGGAAAAGGGATTGTGGCGTGACCATCTCCTCTGGGGGGGTGATTTCTTGCTTTCTGTCTCTATGTCTCTGTCTGTCTGGCGAGCGCATGCGCCCTATAGTGAAAAAAAAAAAAAAAACCTCTCCAAAAAAAAAAATGGGCATAATATCACGGGACCAGCAGTTAGTGTAATGGCTATGTTGCTGGACTCCCATGTAGTTAACCGCGATTCGAGTCCCAGACCTGGTGGCTTAAACTCATGTTGGGCGTGTGTGTATGTGTGTGCGTGCCCGAGATCCTGAGAGGAGAAGGGTTTGCCGCGTGGCCATCCCTCCTGGGGGTTGATTTCTCTCTGTCTGTCTATCTTTCTATCTCTCTGTCTGTCTATCTTTCTGGCAAGCGTACATGCCCTATAGCAAAAATCTCTCCTAAATAAATAAATAGGCATAATATCACTATTTACCACATAAAGTTGTTTTGAGTAAATGAATATGCTTAGAATAATACCTAGTACATAGTGTATACTATATTAAAATTTTATTTTGGGCCAGTTGGTGGCATGGTTAAAGTGGCTAGATACAAAGTGACTGACTGTGCAGTTGAGCCCCAGACCCAGCAGCTTGAAAAACATGCCAGGTGCATGTGAGTGCGTGTCCAAAATCTTGAAAGGAGAAATGGAAGAGAAGGGATCATGGTGTGATCATACCCCATGGAAGGTGTTTTCTCACTTTCTTTCTCTTTCTCTGGTGAGCACATGCACCCTGTAGCAAATACTGAAAAATTTTTTATTTAAGCTTCCTAATTATAAGCCTCATTCATTCATCTTTCTATCCCTTCTTTTGTATGGTCATGTCAGTTGTGAGCTGTGAATTTGACTTTAGGTTGCTTGAGATCTTTTTGAGAAACATTCATTTAAGAATGACAAATAGGTAGAAAAAGAGAGAGAAGCATACCGTCAGAGAACCACTGCTTTCCAGCGGGATCTTGAAGCCAAGTACCATGCTATGATCTCAGAAAATCGGCGTGCAGTTGCTCAGTTGTCTTTGGAACTAGAGAAAGAACAAAACAGAACGACTAGTTATCGAGAAGCCCTTATTTCTCAGGGGCGCAAGTTGGTAGAAGAAAAGAAACTTCTGGAGCAAGAACGGGCTCAGGTAATGCAAGAAAAAAGACAGATGCAATCTTTGAGAGGTGTGTATATGAGCTACCTAGAGAAGGAAGAAGACTGGCAAAGGAGAGCCAGGCTTTTGCTGAAAGAGTTTGAAGCTGCTCTCACAGAAAGACGGAATATCTACTGCAGCTTGATTCTTCCTCGCAACAAGCGACTAGAAAGAGAGAAAAACTTACTGGTACGAGCGTCCGTTGACCCAGTTGCTGCTGACCTAGAGATGGTAGCTGGTCTAACTGACATCTTTAAACACGATACATACTGCAGTGATGTCTGGAATACCAACAAGCGCCAAAATGGGAGGCTCATGTGTCTGTATCTCAGATACTGGGAGCTAATTGTCGAACTCAAAAAGTTTAAGCGAGTAGAGAAAGCCATACTAGAAAAGTGAGACAAGAATAAGAGAAAACTTTTCTGTGACTCAAGGCCCGACTGTCCTGTGACACTGGGTTCTCCAGTGTCCTGTGTTCACTTTCCCCATGTGTGGCCACAGCATCTCTCAGCGCACTCTTAAGAGAAAACTTTTCTGTGACTCAAGGCCCGACTGTCCTGTGACACTGGGTTCTCCAGTGTCCTGTGTTCACTTTCCCCATGTGTGGCCACAGCATCTCTCAGCGCACTCTGCTCCTGCCAGCTTCTGTGAGCAGAAATATGCAAGGCATCGAGAGTCAGGTCTCCTGGGTGCTCTGCAGCTATTAAAGATATTGCTTTTCTGAAGCATTTTTTAAGCAAAACAGTAAATAGTGTGTGCTAGCTTGTGAGAGTAACTTTTTTTTGGGGGGGGGGAGAGGTTTTCACTATAGGGTGCGTGTGCTCACCAGACAGAGAGAGA